AAAAATTGCATATGGTATCTTTCATTAGAATTTGCTATTAAAAAGAAGTTGAAAATAAAAAATTAATTAAATTAAATATATTTTTTAAGATGACATAATTAAATAGAGTAAACATAATTAAAATTTACTCATATGTAAGTCCTCAATTCATGAGTTATATATATATATATATGATTATGGAGGGAGTAATATTATAGTTGTCCTTCTTGGATGAGAAGGAGTGAATCATCTCAAATTGAATATTACTGGGGAGTGTTGAGTCATATAAGAATAAACCATTGGATTATATAAATGATCTCGACCTTTTGTCACGTGTTTTTTAAAAAAAACATATTTTAGTAGTTGGAGGAAGGTTAAAAGAAAATTGTGAATGGTGTAATAATTTAAAATAGTAAAGAATTGATATTTGTGTGTTGTAAGAGTAAGAGTGAAATGGCGTCCACATAAAAGCAGCGTATGGATTGGTTGGAGTCCATTTATATCCAACCAACGCCAATCATTGATTAAAATTGCTGCGTGAGGAATATATAATGTTATCATGATTAAAATAAAATTTCAAAATCCTTAATCCTTAATCCTTAATCCTTAATCCTCTCCAATATTTAAAAAGTTATAATAATAAATTATTGCTCTAATCACGGAGAGATGATGGCTATAACGTGGGTACTATAATTTAGGTCTGAATCTCCACAAAATAATTGCAGTGGCCGGAAGGTACTAGTCCCACCCCTACCAAACCACACCTTCTCTTTGTCACTTTCTTCATCATCTTCTATTCTCCTAACTTTATCAATTCTTATACTTTTTTTTCTGATCACCTAATTTTGTTATTCATCCTTCATCCTTTCTTCGAACTTCGAACTGCCCATGCATATAGCTACCCATATGCATAATTACTTCTTTTTTTAAGGTTTAAGTAGCTCAACAGACAAAGTCCTACACATTCAATTGCATCTTCTTTTTGTTATTTAATTTAAAAGAAAATAAAAATGATTTTACTAAATAAAATATAGAAAATAATTTTTCAAAACATAAATCATTCCTAAAAAATCCTAAATTTAATTTAGAAACATTATGTAAGAAATTCAATTCACTTATAGTTTTTTACACACAATACTCAAACCTAATACCCTATTAATAATTTTATATATTTATGGATTTGAGTCTTATTGGTAAAAACACGACACTTAATGTATATATCTTTTATGAATTGTAATATGAATTTAATTTATAATTTAAAATATTTATTTATTATAAATTTTAATTATTATAAAATGGAAATTTATAATGTGCAATGAACAAATTACAATATATATTAGTAATCTAATAAATTTTAATCATAAGTTTTTTTAAAAAATTGAACAGAAAAAAATAATTTTTATATCATTTTAATAATAATTTACGAAACATAATTCTTCTTGAAAGATACTATTGAAGAAATTATTATAAAATTTATCTCAATTCTCAACTAAATACAATTTAATGATTCTTAAATTACTTGTGTTGATATTTATATTTTTATACTAGAATCATATAAATTAGGGGAACGACATATTTCGCTCACTATTTTTATATAAAGAGTGTGAGAAATTTGAGAAGTGAAATTTACTGAAAAATAGAAAAGGAAGAGAATAAAAATTAAATAAAAAATAATGATAGAAAGAATTATTTATAAGTAATTATTATAGCAGTAAAAAAAAGTTTCTAAAAATGCTTATTGTAACGACTCGCCATGGCCGTTACACTACGAAATAATACTACATATTACTGGAATATATATACTAAAATAATATAATAAAATATTTACAACATAAGTTGTTAATCAAGCAACCAACAGCAACTAGTTATATAAATATTAAAATATGCTACTATAAGGTAGTCTACAAAAAAATATTCATCTCTAAGCACCTCCTGTGGTCTCTAGCAGTTATCTCTCAACCTATCTCTGCCCTGCTCCCATACAACATATGATCATCGCAGTTCAAACCACATGAAAACATGCAAGGGTAAGCTAGAGACAGTAAACAACTCATAATAATTTAATATGCAATACAACAACTATATAATCATTTTCACATCCGACACAAAAGATAAACAACACATATATTATACATCTTAACATCATTTCAACTTGATTCCACATATTAACACTGTATCAACACTTCAACGCAACTATTGTACAACCATTGGAATAGTTATCATATTCGTCATAACAACAACCAACAAATGTGTTACACACCTCTCAACAACACATGTTTAAAACAACTTACAACACAGGTAATCTGGCGACACTAGCATCATCACCAACTTGTATACAATTAAGCAACTTACAACATAACAACACTATCATCATCCTCAACAGGATCAACATATAACACAATCACAGCTTAACAACACAATAACATAGATACAACTCTTATCAACAACAAATCAACTCATCAACAACTTATGCGTCGTCATGCATTTCAACTCGGAGATCTCCTACGACGTGGTAAGTAGTCTAAGTGGCTAGGTCCTACCGAACCGACAACACAAAACCTTTTTGGGCTTGCTAGATAAACAACAATTTTTTATAGAAATTCACAATACGATAACGATTTCTTAGACTTTGCCACTTAAACAAGGAAGTATAGTACTCGGTTAGGAACTAAGTTCCCGACTTCGTATTTTACTCAAATTGGTCGCTTTATAATCAGTTTAGCTCGACCTTACCCCTATACCATGGTCGCTTTATACACGTGTGCCTCGACATTGCCCACACACGGGACCAACTAAGTTCTAGAGGAGAACAATACAACGTCCACTCCAAGGGACAACTTCCTAAGGAGGGTTTTCAACAAATTAGGCTCTCAGAACACCACAACTATCTCAATCCGCATATTGGGATGAACAACTTCGAAAACATCTCCTCTAGTCCTAGTGATCAACAACTTATCATCACAACTGAATCAACTTACAACTCAACAACACAGCTCATCTTAACAACTTAAACAACATAACTTTCAACTCATCATCTCAATCAACTTTCAACTTAAACAACACATAACTTTCAACTCATCATCTCAATCAACTTTCAACTTAAACAACATGGTATATCAGCACAACAACTCATCAACGTTATTTAACAACACAACATCTCATTTCAACTTTAAACAACACAATCAACTCAACAACTTATTAGCTCAACTCATAATTTACAACTCAATCATAAAATAATATATTTTCAACACATGGCACAACATACAACTTTATAACAACATACAACTCTTCTCTAACAACTTAACAACATGGTCTACTAATAAATTTTTGTATAAATCTCAACACGTCTACACATTTCACATCATGTTTCTCACAACTCACAACATTATGATATGATATGTATGAATTATATGAAGAAATATGAAAAATACCTACTTGTTGAAATATTCTGCTGCTTGTGTAATGTCAAGTTAAGTCAATAGTTTATTGAGATAAACTACACTTGATTCGCTGTAAATTGGTTTAGAATTAATTGACTCAACACATGGCACGTGAATTGGTGCAAATGGACCATGCAATCTTAATTGACGTCATAGAGAGTACCCCTAGTTCCTAATCGTTGATAATGTGTGTGAGACAGAGTAAAAGTTTTTTTTTAATAACGTAATGTATATTATATAAGTTGCAACATTGGTGCAACTAATTAATGAATCGGCAAGCTTTATAGCATATTCAAACCTATTCTTGGTTTAGGTGACATTTGGTGCAGTTATCATCATTCCTAAGATTGGATAACAATAAAGAATTTCAGTTATATTTCTATTTTGCTTATCTGAACTAATATTATAGTCTTTCCATGTGTTGCTTTAAATGGTCATTGTGGTCATTAAAATATAATATTTCAGATAAATTAATTATGATTAAAAAAAATTATCTCATTTTTTTTTTCATATGATTAAAATCGAAGATATCATTTTATTTTTATACGGAAATTTAACTTGATGAATAAATCACATTTGTGCACTTCAACACATACATATTATATCGATTTATTCAGAATTATAAATATCAGTTTATGAATTAGAAATTAAGTCTTAATAAGTTTACTTTCACTTGATAACTCATATTTTAAATCAATTTTAATGACTAAGTGTTAAATTAAAAGTTTATAATTTATAAACTAAGTCTACAAATTTTTGCAAAACTTAAAAATCATATAATACTTTATTATATGAATTCAAATTAATATATAAATTATTTTTTTAATATTCCTTAATTTTAATTAATGAATCGAAGTATAAAATAGTTTTTAAATTTTTTTAAAAAATTTGTAAATTTGATCTATATATTATAAATTTTTAATTTAACAGTTAGATCATTAAAAGTCATTATAAACCATAATTATTTAAGTGAAGTAAGTCTATCAAAATTTACTCTTAAAATAAATAATTTTCTTTCATATATATATTTTAAAAAAATTAATTAATATTACATTTAATTATTCATAATATCATAAAAAATAACTATTTAATATTTTTTTGACATATCTCAACTAGAATATTTTTGTAATAGGAGAAATTTAAATATAATTTTGAAGGACATGTATGATTTTGAACCAAAATTAAATTTTACTTCAATAATTAATGCTAATTTGCAATGTCAATTTTAATCACATGAATTGTGTAGATGAAATTTCAGTTTTAATTAAAGACTAATATAGAAGGAAGACTCATTGTTGTGGTTGTAGTTACTATATTGAATACTCCATGATCCGGTAAGCCATGTGAGAATTAATAGTAGCATAATGTTGGTTTGTTTTTTGCATCGACATGATATAATGTTGATTATAAAGCAACTAAAGTGTACTTCATTTAAGAGAAGATTTTAATTAAAGAATAAAAAAACACTTAATGTTTCGCTAAGCCATGTGGAAATTAATATTAGTAGTAGTATAATGTTGGTTTGTTTGGCAATGATATAAAATGTTGATTATAAAGCAAGTAAAGACTAAAGAGTATTTAAGAGAATCCTAATCCCTGAGATACACGGAAGAGGGCATGAGCCATTTGGATTTTGGCCTAAACTAAACGTTGGTTCTCGTGCCGGCGGTTTCAACGGCTTTTGACTTTAGTTACAAAAAATCCGGCCATCATACGTATGCAAATACATAATTACAAGAGTAATAGGACTGCTCAACTTGCCAGACTATATTTCAATTCATTTTTTATTGGGTAACTAGGTGTGCACAAGAAATTATCTTAAACATTTGAAAAAGTAGAATAAAGCATTGATTTAATGAAAAAAGAATAGAGAGAGTGTGTGTAAACCCTTGTTGGGTGTTTAGTCCCAAGTGTCATAGGTGGTGTGTTATTAATTAAACGGGGCATTCCATTATTCATTCCAATTGTAAGTGGCTTTTCCATGGAAGCCTGTAAGGCTCTCCCGTTATAAATCACGAGATCTCTGTGGCCCTCGCACACACCTCAATGTCCGTCTCTTAACTAATTTGGTTTCCGTTAGGTACTACTATGAGTCAACTGGGTGCGGAGCTGCAGGAACCGCAGAGGGAACCGAGGACCATTCTGGGGCTCTTATCGGAACAAATGGAGGGAGGCACACGCAGGAGGCGCACCTTGAAGGAACGGTTCGGGTTCATGGGCATGGGTTGCTGCGGGGCCACATGGGGGTTCCGCTCTCACCATGACGCTCTCAGCCAGACGGAGAGAGAGCAGCAGCAGGAAAGGGATCCGGAGTGCGTGAGCCCGGGCATGAATCTGGCGGCCGCGTTAGCGGCGGAGAGGCAGCTCCGTGGGCCGCAGGAGGAGGCGGTGAGGGCGCCGTGGAGGGTGTCGCTGATGAGGCTGCTGGAGGAGGCGGAGGCGGAGGCGGAGACGGAGCAGGAACAGGAGAAGGAGAAGGGAGGGGTTGCGGGGAATGATTCGGTGTGCTGCGTCTGCATGGGGAGGAAGAAAGGCGCGGCCTTCATCCCATGTGGCCACACTTTTTGCAGGGTGTGTTCCAGGGAACTGTGGCTCAATCGAGGCTCCTGTCCCCTCTGCAATCGTTCCATCCTCGAGATTCTCCACATTTTCTAGAAATTCAAATTCATTCTCTTCAATCCCATTCCCATTCTTGCCCTTTCTTTTTCTCTTTATCATTCGCCACCTGTAATATCAATTTCCTTTATTTCTTATTTCTTATGTCTACAAATCTTCTATCATCTTTATCTCTTGTACATGCCACTACATCACTATATGCCTATGTTCTTTTTTGTTCATTATTTTCCTTTGCTTTTATGTCCATCATCCATCAATTTTTTACACGCAACTTAATAAAACATATAATTAATATATCTCATTTCATAAAATTAATTATGTAATCTCTCAATATATTTTTAAATTTTGTAAAAAAAATTCTTTTTCAAGTATTATAATTAATGATTTAAATTGTAAATATGAAAAAGTACAAAATAATATAGTAAAAAATATAAATTAATTAAATTTTATTTAAAAATATACAAATGAGATTTACAAAAATTACTCAAGCTTTAGTAATTGACCCTTATCGCAAAGGTTCAATTATGAATAATGTGCATGAATTGTAGACAATCTGACTTTTATCTCAACATATGTTGGCCATGGACTAGTTCACCTCATCTAACTCAGCAACAAGAACCTCAATGTACTGACGACATTCATTCACACACAATTTTAAAGATTTCTTGAAAAAACTCTTTGGTGCAAACCTTTGAGCTAGAGTCTGCCAATACATGCATATATAAAATATGTTTGAACCTAGCGCTCCATCGTATCACTATCTGTATTTGAATTATAGTTAAAAAAATTAAGTTAATATAATTTAATTTTTCAAATCAAATTTCAAATAAAAAGTAATATCCTCTCAATTTTTGTTTCAACTGAGATTTGTTTGTTATTTATACTAAAAAAAAATGTCAAACATATATACACTACATTCAAAACCGGCTAATTGAAGTTACAAATTTCAATTATGTATCTAAACATAGTTTTCATCCACGAATCTAAACATAGTTTTCATCCTCGTAACATGAGATTTACAAAGTGTAAAATTGGACACTTCTGAAGAATAATTAACCACATGTTTCTTGTATTTTTTTATTATGTAATTTTTACTTTTTTAATTGATATATTTCTACAATATATGTTTATTAATTTCCATTTTTCTTTGAAGTAATAATTTACCACTACTAGCCATCAAATTATATTTAGTTATAAATTATATTTTAAAATTTTAAATATTAAATAATTAATTGTTTTTAATTTTTAAAACAAAAAAAAAGAAAATTGGAAATAAAACTAACTTTAAATAAAATTAAAAATAAACATATAATATACAAATATATTAATTTAGTGGTATGGAGTAATTATTTAGTAAAAAATATTTTTTTTTCTTTTTCAAAAATTATAATTAATTTATGACATAAATGATGTTAAATAATTTAATATCTAAATAGTCCACCATTCTATTTTGTAGTTTTATTGACAGCTCACACTAGTAAACTTCAAAACATGTAAATAATTTTGTTTTAACAAAATGTCAAACAAATTACAATGATCAACAATAATTCATTTAAATTGTTGTCTATAAATGCTAAGAACACAAACTAATCTAAATTCTTGAGACATGTAATATACTGGTTCATAAATTCTCAAAGTATAATAAAAAAATTTTAAATATTAGATTAGAGATGTAGAATTGACAAATTTTTAATTTAAAGAAGAAAGAACGCAAAAGAAAATAGTGCTCGGACTCCACTGCTTCTTAGTATTTATAGAGGTGATATTGACAGTTATAACTATAATTAATTACAAGAATTAAAAATAATTTTAAAATATTAAATCATTAAAAGAAATTAAAAATATAATAATTAAGTTATTATATCTCATTAAAATCAATATTAATTAGTTTTTAAAATATATAATTCATAAAATAATTATTTAAAATTTCAATTTAAATTAAAAAAATTCACAAATAAATTAATATTTTAAAATATCCCAAAATATACCATACATAGAAGTGAGTATATGGGTTAACTTGGACCATGTAAGGTTTGACCTATGAAGCCCACATTTTTTATGGGCTGGACTTGCAAAATGGTTTTTGGTTCATGATATATACATCTCCTTTTTTTTTTTATAAGTACACCTCCTTTTTTAAAAAAATAATTAAATTTTTAAAATATTCTTAATTTTTTAATTTTTTTGTTTTTAATTTTTAATTTTATATTTACAATATCTAATTTAGTACTTTTTTTTCACACATTTTTCTTCCTTTTTTAATTTTTACATGTACTCCTTACCTTTCCTTCACCATACCTATTTTGATAGTATATAAAAACTAAAAGAAAAAAAAAGTGTGTAAAAAAAAAAGTAACAAATTTAAAGTTGGATTATAAAATTAAAAAAAATTTAAAAAATTATAATATTTTATAATATATTTTTTAAATAAAAGAGGTGTACTTATAAAAATAAAAAAAAAAAGTATATATATCATGAGCCATGATTTTTTCTGTATCTCATGTTTGTCCTGTGAAATCCGTGGGTCCACATAAAAACAACATTGAATGTTTTTCCTTTTCTGTGCTAAAAAATGTGGGATCAATTAAAAAGTATTATATGAAAATATAAACACCACACATTTTAAAATTTAAATAAATTATGAAAATCTTAATATATAAAGATTTACATATTTAAATTAAAAATTAAAATATTAACATACTAAATTTGTATATTTAATTTAAAATAATTAAAATAGAAAAATTACAGTATCTTTTAAATTGAAATATACTCAAAATTTGTTTGGATAAATAATTTAATTAAAAAATATTTATAAAT